TGGCGGTCCTGGGGGGGGGCACACCCCCGACCCCAGGAGGACAGAGATGCTGTGGCCGCGGGAAGGGGTCTTAGGAGCTTTAAAGAGGGACTGGGAGAATGGCCAAGGACAGGCCAGCCACAATGGAACGTCCATACCCGCTTCGGCCCAGCTGACACCTACTGAGGGGCCCACTGTTTCCAGAGCCAAAGGGTCCTGCGTTGGCCGCGTGTCCCGCCAGCGCCTCCAGCTGGTTGCACACCTGGTGGGCAAGGGTGTGCTGGGGTGTTCACATTGCCTCCCCACTCTGGTCCTCCCCCTTGAGCCAGACACCCACCCACCTGCAGAAAGTTGTAGCTGAGGCGCTCGTAGCGTTTGAGGGCCGGCCGGCTGGAGAAGTAACCCGTCCAGAACTCGTGGGGGCCGTCGGCGTAGGGGAAGAAGTCATCCTCTTTGAGTGACCTGCAGGGGCCGGGCACTGAGGGCTGGGTCAGGGCCCAGGGGCATCCTGATTCTCCCAGACGGGGCGTGTCCCAAATACCAGGTGAGGTTGGCCTTGTTCAGCTCCTGGAGATAGCAGGCTGGGGTGGAGTAGAGCGCGTGGACTCGGCTCCCCTTGGCCTGCTGTGGTTGGGAGGAGGGCGTGAGAGTCCGTGCTTTCCTGAAGACACACGTTCCCACGTGTAACCTTCAATCTGGTAAACCGTCAGGGCATATATGTGCATTTTGAATATAACACATGCAAAGAAAAATAATATATTCTATGTAGTTGCACGCCCATTGCATCAAATCAATGGAAGTATTTCTTTAAACGCCGGGATAGGTGGCTTAAAAATTTTTTTTTATCCTTTTTCCCATTCTCCCTCCCCTTAAAAAAAATCATTTTATTGGGGGCTCATACAGCTCTTATCACAATCCATACATAATCCACTGTGTCAAGCACATTTGTACATTTGTTGTCATTTACAAAACATTTTCTTTCTACTTGAGCCCTTGGTATTTTTCCCCCTTCCCTCACCCTCCCTCCCTCATGAACCCTTAATAATTTATAAATTATTATTTTTTTCATGTCTTATAAGGACCTGGTTTCCCTTCACTCACTTTTCTGTTATCCATCCCCCTGGGAGGTCGTTATATGCCAATCATAGTGATCGGTTCCCGCTTTCCACCTTCCCCTTACTCTCTTGGTATCGCTACTCTCATTATTAGTCCTGAGGGGTTTATCTCTCCTGGATTCCCTGTGTTTCAAGCTCTTATCTGTACCTCTGTATATGCTCTGGTCTAGCTGGATTTTTAAGGTAGAATTAGGGTCGTGATGGGTGGGGGGGAGCATTAAAGAACTAGAGGGAAGTTGTGTGTTTCATTGGTGCTATACTGCACCTTGACTGGCTCGTCTCTTCCTTGTGACCCTTCTGTAAGGAGATGTCTAATTGTCTACAGATGGGCTTTGGGTCTCTAGTCTGCACGCTCCCTCATTCACATTGATATGATTTTTGGGGGGAGTCTTTGGTGCCTGATAACTGATCCCATCGACACCTCATGATCACACAGACTGGTGTGCTTCTTCCATGTGGACTTTGTTCCTTCTCAGCTAGATGGTAGCTGTTTATCTTCAGACCTTTACGAGTCCAGATGCTATAGCTTTTGATAGCCAAGCACCATAAGTTTTCTTCACCATGCTTGCTTATACACCCATTTTGTATTCGGTGATTGTATCAGGGAAGGTGAGCATCACAGAATGTTGGGTTATTAGAACAAAGTGTTCTTGGGTTGAGGAAGTACTTGAGTGGAGGCCCAATGTCCATCTGCTGCCTTAATAGTTAACAAATAAATGTCCATAGATCTATTCCCTATTGTTATATATAAATGTATTTACATATGTACATGCCTGCATTTAGACCTCTATAAATGCCCTTTGCCTCCTAGTTATTTCTTCTATTTCCTTTTACTTTCCTCTTGTCCTACTATCATGTTTAGCCTTCATTTGGGTTTCAGAAATTCCTCTCAGTTACACTGTCCTTGATCAAGCCCCACCAGGTATCCCATGCCCTCCTCACCATCAGTTTTAGATCACTTGTTTTTCCCTTATCCCTGGATTGTAGGCACCCCCTTCCTTTCCTCTGCTCTCCCTCTCTCCCATGTTTCCTGGGTACCATCAGTCCCATTGTTTTCTCCTCTGTATTGTTTATCCCACCTATCTTATCTAGATAGACATGCAGAGACAATAATGAGCACAAAAATAAGACAAAGCAAAACACAACAAAAGAAAACAAAACAAAAAAAAACCCCTAAAACAACAACAGCAAAAAAGAGAAAAGCCTATAAATAGTTCCAGGTCTGTCTGTTGACTTTTGTGAGTGGTTTCCAGTGGAGTCTGATGGGGTGCCATCCTCTGACCCCAAAGTCTATTTTTGGTATTCCTCAGGGACTTCATTGCTTTGATCCCCTTACTGCTCCATTGCATGCCTTTAGTGTTTTGTCCTGGTGTAGTGTGCTCAGATTGGGCACAATTCCCACACTGTGTCCCTAGAATTGTCCCCTGTAGTGCTGTGGGTTGATGAGGGACATTGTGTCTCATGGTGGGGTCGGCCTTATGGTCCTCTCTGTGCATTGGTTACTCTGAGCTGGAATATCGTCTTTGGGGCTTGGTGGGCCAGATGTGTCCCATTCTCTCCCCTTCCTCTTTCTCTCTCTTAATTTTCTTATTCCTTCCCTTTCTCAACCCTCCCCCCTGGCTCATCTTAGTCTTTAAAATCTTACCCTTTGGTGTGAAAGTCATTTTTCTTGTTCTCCTTTATAATAATGGTGTCATAAAACATTTATCTTTATTATTGACTGCTTAACTACTAAGCATGATATTCTCTTATTTTGTCCATATTTTAAGGCGTTTAACAGACTCATCACTGTTTTCTAATATTCTATTATATGAACGGACCACAGTTTATCTATTCCTCTATAGTTGTTTTT